TCATTCTGTCTGACGCTTCCTCATCCAACCATTTCAAAAACTCCTGCTGGAGTGATTGCATACACATCTGTGTGTGGCAGGCTAAACATGAGTGTGCTAAAACACCTGTTCCCAGACTTTGACACACGCACACAAGTGACCTATAATTTGGCCCAGGACGTCTGGGGTAGGGCCTGAGATTCTGCATTTCTAACAAGCATCTAAATATGCTGTCATTTCTCAATCTAGGTGTTTATAAGCCTGGAATCTGATGTCATCTACTACTCTGCCATGAACCTGCAATACTGTGATACTCTTTGTATAATATTTTAGATTATAATCATAACAAATCTCATGTTCTGATTCATCATTACAATGACATGAACAAAACTGAAACAGGATTGGTATTCAGCAAAATTGGATAATCTGCCAGTTGGACTTCTGGCGTTCAGCAAAGTAAACACGTGGGATATGGTCTCCATTTTATCCAAGGAGGCAGCAGAAGCCTTGCAGAGAATTTTATTTATTTTTAAATTTGTTGTTTGAGAATATCATATGTGGATTTGGTGTGTTTTATTAAAATCTTCCCAGCTTCTTCCCCTACAACTCTCTAATCCCACTGCTTTCTCTCCCAACCTCATGTACTCAGTTTTAAACTCAGAGTCCACTTAGTGTTCATGCAGACAACTCTGAATACATGCCATCTCTAGCCTTTTTCAGTATTTGTATCCAAGAAAAAATAGGTTTAAAGAAAGTAGACAGCTTTGAAGGAGATGAAACCACCCCAGGGGAGGCTCAAGGGCAGGCATGAAAGAAGGGAAAGGCTATGTTCCCAAAGAAGCTTGAGGCAGGGCAGGGCAGGGCAGGGCAGGGCAGGGCAGGGCAGGGCGTGGTGTGCTGTGGTGAGGTAGGGCAGGGCGGTTTTTGCTGTGGTAGGACAGGGTCTAGGGCCATATGTTCAACACAACAAAGGATTTCAGTTTTCATTCAAGACTGCTTAGAACAGGGACCTTGCAGCCTCTGGATGGGGCATGGGTTATAACAGGTATCGGGTAGAACAGGCATGGAGTAGAACAGGGAGGTGTGTATAGCTCTGCTGCAGAAACAGCAGTCGGTCCTTTGAGCTTATTATCCAATAGCACAGGAAGAACAATGTCACCAAACATTTTTTCTTTTTCTTTTTCTTTTTCCTTTTCTTTTTCTTTTGTTTTTTAACCTCAGATTTGCTGGCAGACTCTCTTCCTTTGAAGCCTCATTCCCTACTTCCCTTTCCCCCCACCTGTCTCAGGAGCCACTGTCCAGCTCTCCAATGTTTTTCTTAGGCCTCCTCAGAATAATCATACCTCCAACAAAACCCTCTCTGGAATGAACTCCCTCTCATCTTCGCTTGTTGGTGAACCTGAAAAACTATGCCCTGCTCCTGCCTGGTGTCCACTGAACATCGGTGTTGTAAACAATCTAGCTTTCTCCACACTGTGACTTCTAGTGGATATCTTCTCTAGTCTCAACTTTGCAGTCCACCTCTCTTCAACATTTTCTCCTAGTGCCATTGCCTAATACATCACAGAACAAGTAGATGTTATGAGAAAGGAGTGCATTTATACTTTGTCACCACATTTATAATGCACTTTCCAATCCCATTCCAAGTCATTGTTCCTATATGGTCCCTGTTATGGGTTGAATTTTGTCCAACTAAAACTCATATATTGGTGAGTGCATCCTAACTCTCTGTGTCTCCAAGTATGACTATATTTGAAAGTGGTGACTAAGATAAAATTGGGTCATGTGGATAGGCCTTAACTTAGTGTGACTGTAGTCTATACCTAAAGGAGATTGAGACAAAGATATGACATAGGTCAAGGGAACAAAATAAGGAGGTGACCCCGTTTTCAAAACAGGAGAAACCAAACCTATTAACATCTGTATTGTGAACTCCGGCTTCTGAAGCTATAAGGATACATTTCTTTTGTTGAAGCTGACTGGCCTGGGGCATTTTGTTAGAGCAATGTAGGAAGTTGACACTGTCTATTTAAGACCCATCTCCTGTAGCTTTCAAACAGAAAGACATCCCACCCTAAGCCATGCTTCCCTGATACTCTGAAATGCCTCACGTGTTTCTTCATAGTACACATTACAATTGAAAATGATGAATTTATGGTATTTTTTCCTATTCTATTCACTATGTTATAAGGTGTGTGGGTAAGTCAGGGCCAGCAGAATATTTGGGGTTCAGAAGTAGCTGTGTCCTTCTAGGATCCCCTCATATTAGTTGGATGTGGATAATATGCATTTTACCAGTGCTATGGCATATGTTATATGAAAGGAGATTCAACAAGTTATTACCTTCTCTTCTTTACACAAAGCTTCACCTCCAGTCTTCTACAAAAATGTACAATGCTGATTCCCCACAGCCACTGACAGGAGCTCTGGCACTACAGAAGGTGCTCAGAACTTGACCAGTGTCTTTTCTCCAGAAGAGGCAAACAGCAAAGTTCCTACCCAGGGGTTTCAGCTTTGGAGTTTCTAAATCCTGGAGTCTCTGTGGGTATATGACATTTACGCAACACTCACCATCTACTAATGGAAGGATACAGAAGTTTAAAATGTAACTTATTTACCTGCCTCCTTCTATTATTTTTATCTTTAAATATGCTATATATTAGACACTGTAGTGATAAAGTTTATGTCAATTTGGTTGGGCCTTATGATACCCCAATAATTGGTTAACATTCTGGGTGTGTTTGTGAGAGTGTTTCTAATTAAGATTTGAATTGAGAGACTAGAACAACTTGCCATGTAGCAGGCAGGCTTTGAGTAATCCATGGAAGGTCTAGAACAAAAGGTGGGACTGAGATTTCCCTTCTCTGATGGTGTCTCCAGGCTGGGATGTCACTGTCCTGACTTGGATTTGGATTGGGGCTAGAATGTAAAGAATTGACTGTCCTAGCCTCAGGCTTTCTCCCACCAATGGCAACTGTAATCATTGCTCTTGGGTCTCCAGCTTCCTTGCTGTTATTGGACTACTCATTCTCCATTAATGCCATGGCCTAATTCTTTATGATAAATCTCTATATACACACACACATGCATGCATGCACACACATGCACATCACTCACACAAATATTCACACATGTATGAACACATATGAGCACATACGCAAACATCCACACACAAACATATGCTTGCTTACACATATATACCTCCTATTGATTTTATTGTTACTCGAATCTAGTCTAACATGGTCTCTTGGCAGGTATTATGAGTTCTTAGCCTAAGGGAACTTAGAAAGTATTTATCCTTTAAACCACTCACATTGTGAATAGCCCCCTGGGTTCTTATCATTTGAGATGGGTCATAGAAAAAAAAATGTTGCTGATGTGGCAAAGGGTCTTGAGGAGTTTATGTGGAATGTTGCATTACATGTGTGATTCTTCATACTTCTACACATTAAGGTCTTATCAGCTTCATGTTTTGAATTTTTTATACAAATACAGCAAAGCAAATATTAGTACTCCAGTGTATCCATTGCCTTTCCTCAACAATTATCAACACATGACTATCTACATTTGGTCTTGTCCCATCATTACTTTGAAATACCCTCTAGACATATCCTTCCATAAATAGATTCCATGAAGTTAATTTATAGACACATTTTGGAACTTATCACTCAGTTGGCTTTTACTTCTCCCTCAAGATGAATAATGGATTTATTAATTTTCTGTTCTGTCTTTCTTATAGACATTCCATGAGTATGGGAATGAAATAAATCATTCTGTCTACCATGAGACATAGCTATTTTTACAGATTATTCTGGGCAAAGAATTACATTTTGATTCTGTTAGTAAGTATGAGAATTCAGGTAAGACTTTATTAGTTCTGTGGAACCCTGTTTCTATACCTGTAGAACAAGGAACACACCTGAGAAACATGCTGGGACGTGACACTTAACAGCTCCAGCTACTGCCCTTGTCATTGTGGTTACTCTGTGAAGCTAGAGCTAGAGCTAGAGTTTGCAGGTAAAACTGATGACTCATTGCTAATTCTCATAGTAAAAACAACAGCGAAGTACACAGCAGGTGCCCAGAAAATGCCACAAAAAAGCAAAGTCATCCTTTCTTCCTTCCAGGGAGCATGCCAGGTGTCCTGGAGCGCCCTTTGCAAGAACTTTTTCCACTGTGGAGGGGATAACAGGGCAGATTGATCCCCTCTTATGGCATGCAGACAGAGCCTCAGCTTATGTCTTATGATAAATAATGAAGCAATCTAGCAGATCCTGACTGCAGTCAATTACCCTGGGTCCAGGTCTTAGTCTTCCAATGGGCACTTGATAGGGACTGTATAATTGCAGAAATTGGAGCAAAATGGAGAAAGCAAAACCAGTTCCATCTGTCATACTGAAGATGGAGTCTGTCCAAACCTGACGTGCTAATTCTATGCGGATGCCTTTGATTATCATGCAGCTCAGACAGATGGGAAGATCACTTTGCAGTTTTTATTTAAGAGGCTCAGGCAACTGAAGTTTTGTGCCAAGGGTAATCAGTCACTTTAAAGAACTTGCCAGAAAGTGTAGCTCTACCTTGTTTATAGCTTACTAGCTAATATGTTTCATAAATGGACAGTCAGATAATAACGCCAAACAGAAACTGTACCTGGCTTCAGATTGTTGCATGGCAGTCTTGTGACAGGACAGGTGGCCATTTGTGAGCCACACAATACTTCTCGGTGGACAGTGTGCAGCAAGCTTACTGTTGATAGTATCGTATATCTGAAATATTTTCCCCACTGGGTTGGTTTTGGCAAGGTCTTCAGAAAGTTACCAGGCAATCACTGTTTACCCTATTCACGTTCTTCTCTGTGCCCCTCCTATCTAACATGGGTTTATTCCTTGTGAGGGGCTTTGCTCAGCTCCTCCTCGTCTTTCACAAAGTTCTACCTTCTGCATTGCCTACATTGATGCCTCACTCTACCCTGAAACACATCATCTTAAGACATGTTAGGATCACCCAGGAGTGAATTAAATATGGGCAATGTTGAGAAAGGCAAGAAGATTTTTGTTCAGAAGTGTGCCCAGTGCCACACCATGGAAAAGGGAGGAAAGCATAAGACAGGACCAAATGTCCACAGTCAATTTGGGAGGAAGACAGGTCAGGCCTCTGGATCTTTGTACACAGATGCCAACAAGAACAAATGCATCATGTGGGGAGAAGATACACTGATGGAGTATTTGGAAAAGCCCCCAAAATACATCCCTGGAACAAAGATGATCTTCACTGGAATTAAGAAGGGAGAGGGTAGACCTGATAGCTTATCTTAAAAAGGCTACTAATGAGTAAGTCTTCTGCCTTATTTATTACAAAACAAACGTCTCATAACTTTTAATGTGTATCATAATTTAATTCATACACCAAAATTCAGATCATGAGTAGCTAACAATTTTTTTGACAGTCCTGATTTAAGTAAAACTGACTTGTAAAAAAACAAACAAAAGACACATTAGCTTGAGTCTTCTAGTCCTCTGGTGTCCCTACTCAGTGAGGGTCAGTTCTGTTCATTTTCTTCCCAGTTCATTACCATGGTCCCCTTTCTAAAGAGGAGAACTGGAACTGCATGGGGGCCACTGAAGGTATGTAGCCTCTAGGTGGCTTCTGAGACACACGTGTCCTATCTCTGATTGGATGGTGCTCACTCAGTTCAAGTCTTTATCATCCTGAAATGATTTCATATCCACAGCCTCAGCCTCCTCATTCTTGTTCCATGGTGGCTCAATCTGAATACTCTTGTCAAATGGATTTAAAAAAATACAATTCTTTACACATTTCCTTTGTTCAAGAGACTTCAGTGAGCATCTTGCTGCTGGGATAAATTCCAAACCTCCCATTGAATGCCTGTGTATCCCAGCATCAGTCAGCCTTTCTTTTTCTGTCTCTCTACTTACCAACACAAACTTTTCTTTAGCCAGAACAGTCCCCTGCTCCTGGCTCTTCTCTAATTGGTTATTGCTTTACATGTTCCCATTTGTATTTTCTCAAACATGTTTCCAGATAGACAGTTAGTGTGTGTATATTAATACCATGTAGGCCTTGCTGAGTTGTATAGTACTAGACTCTGAGAGTCTGAGAGGAAAATCCATGGAACACAAGAACCTGAGAACTAACATTGAGCACATAAACTCTAACCCTCACACTTGTGAGCTTTGCTCCGTTGGATGATGGCTTCAAACTCTGTGGACCCAAGTTCCTTCCTCAGTAGTTGGTCTTCTGTTCAATTTGTCTTCTATCTTCTAGGCTTGTTGCTAGAACTAAGTTACATTGCAAATTGCATTCATACAGTGAATTACAGCTGTTGAGATATTGAAAAAGATATTGACATGGGTTATGATCCTTAAAATAAAAATGAAGAAATGTTTAGGGCTTCTTCATACTTAGATTCATTTTATACACTTTGATACTGCTCATCAGTAAAGATGTCTTTAGTTATGAACACAGGGGTTTTGTTGGACCCAGACCTGCATATATGATGGACAGCCCTTTGGCAGACATGAAGGTACACCTACATGAATTGTAAGCCAGATAGGGCAAAAACCAGGTATCTCCCTAATTTCAGCAAAAGAAATAGGATGCTGATATAAAAGAAAATTTTAGACAACAAAGAATGGGAAAGAGAAAAAGATCTTCAGAACTTGAGGAGGGCAGATGACCAGAGAGGGCATTTGAGTTCTGTCTAGTCTGGCCTCTGATGCAGTTCACCATGGGCTCTGGTTTGTCAGGAGGATCAGAGCAAGTCAGTCTGGTGAGCTTCAGTGGTATACAATCCCCTTGATTTCCTGTCCTGCCTGATCATCATGTCATCTATTATTTAATGTCTTCTTCAAATTGGCCCACTTTGTTTTCACTCAATCAAACTCAAATAAAAGTTTTATAATAGAAAAATGGAAGTCATTACCATAAGGAGAAAAAAAAAACTAGAATCAGCTTCCATAAATAGAAGAGAACTGTGAAAATAAACAGAGCTATCTTATTAAAAAGATTCTTAGCTACAATTTCCCAGTGGAAGATTGGAGCCCGACTCTTCCCTTTCTTTAATAAAAAGAGAGATTATTAAGTGTTACGATAAAAATATAGCATAAAACTAAGATATTGTCTTTCACAAAGTCCAAATGTATCAAAAGAAAACAGAAAGGAAAAGATGTGCCCACTCAGTCCCTCACTGCTGCCATGCCAGCTTAGTCAGGCTCCCCTGGCCCTCACTAACTAATACAGATCAAATTCTTCACATTCAATCACATTTACCATGTAGTAAGCAAAGTTCAAGAAAAATGTCTAAACTGTCATTCGAGGCTGTGTATAGGGCAACAAAACAGTCTCGATTACATAATAGTTTTGTTTCTATAGATAACATCATCCGACAATGTGATGGAACTCCTAGTGTACTTTCAGAAGCTCGGCACAGTCTCCATAATCACTTAAAGGGCAGCAGACAAAGCAACTCACCGCTACAGCCTATTCTTCCCTGTCTCCAACAGCAAAACACTATCTCATTTGGTAAACTGTTGGTAAGAAGCAGTGTGTGCCTGGAATGAATGAATGAGTGAGTGAATGAATAACATGAATCCAAGTAATGATACACCCCAACTTACTGTTTTCTGGATCTGTGTCACTGAAAAAAAAAAACACTTCATCTCATTTATTTCTAGCTCACATATTTCCCTCTCATATATATTATATATTTCTACTTGAAAATAAAATAAATATTACTTAACAGGACTGTTGTAAGAATTAGATATATTGTCTGCAAAAAAATGCAATACCTAATGGGAACACAAAACAAATAGCTTCTGGATCATCTTTATCCTTCATGAAGCTGTATTTCCCTGACACAGAGGCTGCTGAGTCCTTGAGACTTGGTGATAAAACTTCAGAGCAGATAGAATTGGCTATATTGGAGTACCTGCTCACCAAATCTGCCTTTACTCTGGAAAAATGCATGCTGTTGTCATTAATGTGGCCTTCATTGACCTCTACTACCTAGTCTACATCCAGTTCGGATTTCACTGGTGGCAAGTTCAATGACACAGGCAAAGCTAAGAATAAAACCTTGCCATTGATGAAAAGTTCCTCTCCACCTCTCAGGAATGAGATCCACAATGGAGTGACCCTGTGTTGAACATGCTGCAGGGCACTTGGCTACGACAGAGAAGGCTGGGGCTACTTGAGGTGTGAAGCCAATAAGATGATGAGCTCCTTCTGCTGGAGCTTCTATGTGTTCGATGGATAATTCATGAGAAGTGCAACTCATCATTCATCAGCAATGCCTCCAGCACCAACAAGTACTTGAGTCGATTGAACAAAGTTATCCATGCTGACTCATGACCACAATCCATTCTGAGACTGAAATCTAGAGTATTCCTTTATTGACACAGTCACTTGATGGCTCTGAGGATACTCACAACACCATCTCTGCATCTTTTCCATCCACATGCTGAATGAAAAATTTCTTGGTATATCTTTGTGTGTCCCCATATCCAGTGTTGTTGGGTATGGGTTGACCTGCCATGTAAAAACGGATGACAAATATTGAAAACTAGAGAGTGTACAAGCAGATAAAACAGAGCTCTGTGCACAGAGGATCAGATTATCTCCTGCAACTTAAAAAATCATGCCCATTTCTTCCATTTTGAAAGCTGGAGCCAGCATTACCCTCAGGTATACATGGTGTCATATTCATTTCTGGTACAGTACTGAATTTGGCTGCAGCAAAGAGTGATGGGCCCTTTGGTCCCATAGCCTTCAAGGAGTAAGAACCTCCCCACCATTCACCATGGCTCAAACAAGGCCACCAGCTCTATCAGTAAGACAAGAGAAAGAAACCCCCTTAACTCACAGGAAGCCCTTGGACCCAATACTGAGAACCTACCATCCTTGGCATGGTTTCTATCCCAAGCTTCCTAAGGAAGAAGGAACTTAAGTAGCTCTGCCTTGTCCTGGAGAATCAGTAACCTCCACTCCACACAGCAAAAATAGACAGGGAGATTTAGTGTCTGCTGCTGTGACTGGTCTGAACAGTCAGTCACCTGATGAAGTAGGGGCAAGAAGTCAAACATAATGACTGGAAGGTCAGGAACTTCAATTTCAACTGAAGTGTTTTGGTTTCCAGTCCAATTTATTTTTGTAGGTGGTGTCGCTTTTTTTTTTTTTTTTTTTTTTTTTTTTTTTTTTTTTTTTTTTGTCTTGGCTTTGACATGTCTTTCCCTGCTAGAGTCCTGTGCCTTTTTATGAGGAACAAACAAATAAATGTTTTCTTTACAAGTACACTCAGCTCTTTGCTCATTATTGTGTAGGATTTTTCCCAGAACAATATAATTTTGTTCTCTGGTGGACAAATGAATGCCCTGAATTCTATCACTACCTCTATGGAACAGTGTCAGAACCCATAGGTTAAGGGCTCAACTCCACAAAAATTGTGTGTGTGATCAACTCAACCTCTAGCTTCTCACCTTTCTGACAAAATTGTGTGTAGCTAAAATCTCCAAGACTTAGACCCCAGCTTGGTTATTGGCAATTAGCTCCCATCCTGTGGCCATCTGGGAACAACTGGCCTTGAAATTTCATTAGCATATAAAACAGACCCTTCTTATTTTAGAGATTCCAGAACAAGTGGTATCTTAGTCAGTGTTCTATTTCTTATGCTTATAAAGGAAAGCTTTTAATTGGAGGTTGCTTACAGGTTCAGAGGTTTAGCCCATTGTCATCATGGTGGTGGGGAGAATGGTGGTATGCAGGCAGACATGGTGCTTGGGAAGTACTTAGGGTTCTCTATCCAGATCTGCAGGTGGCAGGAAGAGAGTGGCATTGATCTGGCTTGGGTGAAATCTCAAAGCCTACCCCCAGAGATACACTTACACCAATAAGGCCACACCTATCCAACAAGGCCACATTTCCTAATACCTCTCAAGAAGTGACACTCCCTAAGGATCAAGCATTCAAACATATGAGCCTATGGGGTCATTCTGATTTAAACCACCATAAGAAGCAATCCCCCATTTGCATTTCTTATGTCATACTCTTAAAAACAAACAAACAAACAAACAAACAAACAAGTCCCATATCAAAGATCACCTCTTCAGGCTATGATTTCTATTAGGTAGGTAGCCTTTATAATTCCCTAAACTACTGACTGTGTTAAGAATTGAAGTGAGCCCCTCTACCTAAGTGAATGTTACGTTAGCAGTTGAGCTGCACTCAACTCCTGTTCTCCAAGGCACATAGCAACTTAGGATTTAGGGAGACCTTTTGGGGATGTGGCAGGCTACTCTTT